TAAAATCGGATTTCCCTCCCACTCTCTAGTCCCTTCCAGAGACATTGCTTCACTATTTCTGTGTTTCCTGGGGAGATCTTTGAAATTACTCTCTCCTTATCATAACTAACTTCAGCTGTTGTGTCTAACTTTCATGAATCCTAACTCCTTTTGCAAAACTTGCCATTAAGCTGCACCAAGGCAGCTCTCAGCAGGAGTGTTAGCTTTCCTATGTGACTGGCTACCACTTAGCCACTTTGTGGATTCTGCACACCAGGGTGCACCCAGAGTACTTAAGAGCATTTCTGCCCTGATGCAAAACAAATGATCTTTCTAAGCATCCAGAGTTTTAGCAAGAGGGAAACTCCTCAGATATAGTCCTGTCTGGACTCTTCCTCACCCAGGACTCTGCCCTTCCATCTTCTAGAAAGTTGTTGCTTGAAATCTACTGTGTACTAAGAAGCAAAATATGAGAGGGAGGGTGAAAGGGAGGAGGAAAGAGAAGAGGGAGAGAAGAGAGATTGGGGAGGGGGAAAGTTGGGAATTGTCTGGAACATTCTGCTCTAAAGTTGAAATTATCTTCTACAAGGCTTCCCTTCTACATGTAAAAGACAGAAATAAAAAATTCTACTACATGGACGTTTAAATAGAGAGTTAAATGAAATGAAGTGTGCAATTTTATGAAATGACATCTGTGCCTGCTACAGTGAATGGTCCATAGTAGATACTAAGTAAACATTATTTACCCCCAGCCCTTTGAGGCAATCCACCCTTGTTCTTCTTTATAATAAACAGCAACTCCTGTGTCTATACTGTCCGGTATAGGTATAATGGCCTCTCAAGGCACTAAGTCAGAAATCCAGGGCTCAAAACCTAGACCAATCGTTTTCTTTCTTTATATCTTTCTTCTTTTCTTTTACCTCTGATGAAAGATCTCTGATAAATGCCATGGATTCTTTTAAAGTGAAGGTCTGTGGTTTGGGGATGTGGCTGAATTGGTAGAGTGCTTGCCCAGCATGCATGAATCCTTGGATTTAATCCCTAGTACTACATAAACTCAGTGTGGTAGTACATATCTACAACCCTAGCACCTGGACAGTGGGCATAGGAGGATCAGGAGTTCAAGGTTAGCCCGAGTTCCTTGAAACCTAAAAAATGAGTGAAACATAACTTTAAAAAATGAGGGCCTGGGCTACTGACCATTTCCAATCTCTTACTATGTGAAACTCTATGATCCTGTCACTCACTTTTAGGTCTTCCTTTTATGGATATTGAATAAATCAAAATATACTTCACTATAAAGTTCTATGGGCTGGTGAATATAAATCTCCTGTGCTGGGGCTGGAGAGATGGCTCAGAGGTTAAGAGCACTGACTGCTCTTCCAGAGGTCCTGAGTTCAATTTCCAGCAACCACATGGTGGCTCACAACTATCTATAATATGATCTAGCACCCTCATTTGTATACATAATAAATAAATAAATCTTAAAAAAAAAAAGAAATCTCCTGTGGTATATTTCCCTTGGTGGGGGAAATACTGCTTTCAAAAGAAATGATTTTAATTTCGGGAAAGATAACTTGCCAGGTATCACTGTAAAATCAGAGGCAATGTTCCATGTTCCCTGTAATTAGCCATCATTCTTTCCTGTTTGGTCAGGAGCCTGGTCTTGAGACCACACAGACCACAGGGAAGTGAACTCTGAAGATATCATCCATGATCTCCTTTGCCTCTGCAATCTTTTTCTTCCTTCTTCCCCCGGTAAACCTCCTGAGCTCCTCAGCTGCTTTTCTTCATGCTCAGACCCCTCAACACTGGACTCTCGTGAAGCAGTAAAATAGAACTCTATCGGAAAAAAGTTTCCAGCGGACACAGGATGTTCAGAACACACGATGATCTAACAAGTAATTTTTTCTTTTTCTGCTAATAGTCAGTTGATAATGGCTCTGTGAACACGAGTTCTGGGTAACTCTTCCTTACCTTTCTCTTCCATTCCAAGCTTCATCCTCTCCTTCCCTCAGCCAGCTCATCTCTGAGTTTTAATCTTTCCCTCTCTCCTTATTGGTTTACTTAGTCACCACTACATACAAAAACCTCTGTTACTTTATGAGTAGCATTTCAAAGATTAAAATGTATCTGAATTTTACTCTCAAGGAACTCATATGCCAGTCATGTTAACTTGACCTCTCATATCCACTAGTGTTAGAGATGCGATACACACCTGTGCAGCCAAATCCCAAGGCAACAGGCATTAATAGCATAGATCAATATTTTTTAAAACAAAAAACGACAGCCCATTACATCACAGGATCAATTAGGCCGTGGCCAACATTAAAAGAAAACAAAAAACCAACATAATTTAAATAGAAAATATTGGAGTGACTCATATATAAGGACACGTTGCTTATTTCTTCAATTTGAATTTCAATTATATGTATGGTGTGTTTGTATGTACATGAAAGAGACAGAGAGAAAGAAAGAAAGCAAATTTGTATATCGGGAAGTGTTTTGTATTTTGTACCTCACTCAAAACTTTGAAAGACTGGCTTATGGAAGGACCACATGAAGACAGGCTTTTCAAACATACCATGCCTGTGTCAGTGAAGATCTGGATTCAACTGGTGTGCAGTGGGACTGGCGAGTCCCTGTTTCAGAGACTGTGGGGTGCTGCTGCTGCTGGTGGTCCAGGCAGGGGACAGATTGCTAAAAGGAGACATCGTCCCCAGGGAGACCCAGGGTCAACTCCTCTAGGCACTCCTTTGTGAGTTCAGCGCTGACAAGGACCAATGAGGTGCTAAGGTTTTCCCTGTTCTGGTTTCTTGCTTTCAGTTGACAGCCTAGGTACTTTCCCAAGTGCTGCTGCTGTCCAGCTCGCAGGTGGTGCTGGACGTAGAACTCAAGAGACTACAGAAACATCAGAGCAGTCCTGCACAGGTGTCCCACGGTTTCCAAGGCTGGGCCTCATTTTCTCACTGTCTTTTCCCGTTCAGTATCCCTGCAATGGGAAGCCAGGTGCTTGCTATACAGCGGGCTTTCACAATAGGGTGGGAAGACCTTGATTGGTTTCAGCTTTCACCTGTTGTCACGCTGCCACAGGCTGCCACCACCGGCGTCCACTTTGCTGCCTCGCCCTGCACTTCGTTTCCTCTGCCTGCAATCCTCCTCCATTTCCTCTGCGAACCCACCCTGTGTAGGGCATGTATTGACCATCCTAGAACGAAGGGTTCATGATTTTCTTTTCCGGATCACAATCCCTCAGGGGTTCCCATTGCCTGGACAAGCTCTCACTGCTGCTCTGCTGTGACCTCCGGGGTCTTCATCGTGACTTGTTAGCTCTTTCCACTGATTTCACTTCTCTTTAGGATTTGCTTAAAAATTCCGCTTGCTTCTTCCTAACCCCAGGGAGAATCCTCTCCCTCCTCACCCCCACCTCTCTCTTTCCCACTCCCCTTTGCTTATGCCTCTTCACAGTATTGCTGAGCATAGATTGTGCTCTGCCTTGTGGATTGGGAGCAGGAAACCAAACTGGGGCCTGACCACATTGAACACACAGGACAGGATCAGGCTGTTTGTCTTCTCTGAGCCTCAATTTGTTCATTATGATGAAGGAGACCGGAGGAGATGGTCTTTAAGAAATGCACATGGTGCTCAGCAAATGTTCATCTCACTAATTTTGATTCCGTAGAGATCCCGTTTTCTATTCCTTCTGCTGTCTCCTTCATTTAATCATGTTTCTTGTTAGCACTAAACTACTACCCATCTTTGAATTGCCTTCTAATTTTTAAACTCTCCCACAGTCGGTTGGTTTTGTTTTGAGTCTCTTTTTTACTCTTATCAGGAAAGAACCTGGTTCTATAGCTGAGGGAAAGAGGCCCAGGAGGGCCTGGCTGAAACGTTTCCAGAGCCCAGAAGACACCCGACTGACTCAACTACAGAGATGTGTGGGCTCCTCAAGGGTGTCCGCTCAGAGTTGGGGCTCTCCAATTATGTGCCAGTTGATTGGAAGGTGTCAGGCCCATCTTGCAAGCCTACTCCCTTCTCTTTGGAAGGAGGAGCCCCTTGGAGTCTGTTGGTTAACGGGAAAAGTGCTTACTCTGGGAGGAAGGCGGGGCAAGCCGGAACAAGCTGTCCCTGGGAACCTGCAGGCTCCCTCACTCCGTTTCGGAACCCCATTCTCCTCCGGGGAGACAGGAGGGGGTTCCAAGGGACTTGGATACAGTCCCTTTGCGGAGACCGTGGAGACACGTAGCTGCTCCGGGGCTGATCCTGCGGAGCGGGGCGCCCCTCCCCGCCCCCATTCCCCTGTGTTTTACTCGGGTTCTTTGCAAAGGGAGGGGACAGAGAGGGGGCCCTGCGCATCCCCTTTCTTGGAGCTGCAGGCTAGGAGCCCTGCGCCCTCGGGAGCCCCTGCAGCTTGCCCTCGGCAGCACGGGGGTGCAGGCTGTCCCCGCCGCCCCCACCCGAGGCTCGCCCTCGCTCCCTTTTTCCAGCTCCGCCAGCCGGAGCGCGCACACCGGGGCTCCCGCACGTGGGCGCGCGGGAGGCGGCGGCCGCTGCTGCCCGAGCCCAAGCCGGAGCAGGGCAGATCGCCCTCCATGCTGCGGGAGCCGCGGCCGCCTCGCGCTCAGCCTCTCGCCCCAGCCGAGCACTGCGAGCGGGCGAAGCAGCGGAGGGGAACCGGACGGTGACGCGAGCAGCGCAGCGGACTAAAGCGACCCGGGTTTTGAGCGAAGGGCGCCCGCTTGTCGGGAGCAGGCAGCCCGGCTGGGTCGCTCGCCCTCGGCTCCTACCAGCGCTGAGGGCTACGGGCGGTGCGATGTCGCTGCGCTGCTTCTAGGCGGTGGCCGGGGACGCCTCCTGCAGCCACTCGGCCCGCACCAGCGGCCCCCAATTCCCTTCCACCCGCAAGTCCTCGGATCACTCCCGGAGGACGCGCCGGGCCACCCGGGGCGGAGCGGGCGCCAAGTCCGAAGTCTGTCCCCAGCACAGCCAACTTCCGCGGGAGCCCCTCGGCCCGCTGCAGCCTGCGCCAGCCCCGGGAGCGATGCGCCCCCAGCCGGGCGACGCTCCCTCTGCCAACTCGCCACCCATGGGATCCACTGCCCTCGGCCGCCCCGCTTGGAGCGCGTAGCTCTCGCCGCGCGGCCCAGGAGAGGAGTGAGACACTAAGGGGGTTTGCTGACCCTGCGTGCACCAGACTGCTGTGAACCCCTGAAGGGGAAGCATCTGTATTTGAGGGTGAGTAGCCCGCTAGTGGTGGTGTCCTTTCCCCCGCCCCAGATATCAGTTTGCAGGGATGCCGGGCAGACTCCAGAAAGTTGGGTCTCCTGCACCTATCCTGGGATTGGCAGCGGGAAAAAAAAATACATTGGTTCCTCAACCCGATTGCCTTCTTGACTAAAACCAAGGAGGAGCACCCTTCCCAAGGAGAAACGGGGCTTTCGAGAACAGGTCACAGACTATTCCCTTCAACTGGCCATTGGGGCTTTTCAGCCTGCCCGCGCGTTCAGTAAGCACCCAGCTTAAGCGCTTGGAGATCCGCTGCTGCTGGGGCGTGCTGGGAGAATCTGATGGGCAAACCCCCTGTCCCTAGGAAGACGCTCAGTGCACTTCATTAAAGCGAAGTGACTGCAGGAATATTAAGAGAGAATGTGGAAAAAGGCGACCGAGGGTACTAAAGAAAGGGAGCAAAGGAGGAGAGGTTAGGAAGGAGGGGTCAGAAGAGGTGGCTGAAGGAAGAGACAGTAGTGAATTATTTCCTGCTGCTGGATGGAGCATCTGGGGTACTTTTTACATGATGAAGGTTTGCAGCATGCTGATATAGGGCAGGCCGACCTAGACCAACAGGTGGCTTAAGCATGCTTCCTGTAGTTGGGTTCCTGGAGGGGAACCACTCGCTCTCCCACGGGGCTTTGGCTGGCTCTATCACTTGCATGATAACATTTGAACATGGGCAAGGAAATGGGCTTTCTGAGCTCCAGCCCAATTTGGGCTGTGGAAGGCATCCAAATGCCTCCTGTAGGAAAACAGCGGCCCCTTTGTGTGTCTGGCTGAGGTTTCAACATACAGGCAACTGAGGGGTCTTTCAGCTGGGCGACTTGGACTTGTATGGTCCTTGGACTTGAGCCCTGGCTTTCTCCCTTGGTCCCTGGTGGCGGGTATTCTCCTTCCCTAGGCTAGGCTTCGAGCCAAATCTCATTTTCGCTGCTCTGTACTCCAGTGGTAGGAGGGGGCATTTCAAGAGTACCAGGAGCCTTGCTTGAGTGCGTACTTTACCTGCATCTGTCCCTTGTACTTTTATTGTGAAACTTAGGCACGGACAGGTGTGGGTGTGTGCGTGGTATGTGCTAGTGAGTGTGTGGACAGGTCGAGCTGGATGGAAGAAATTGGAGAGAGGGAGAGCATTGCTGCTGCCTAGACTTGGGAGAGGGCGTGTTTGTGCTTTCACTTTTCTTCTGAACCCACCATCCTTCCGGTCTTCCCAGGAGAAGTGCTGTTAGCACTCCATAGTAGCATCTGCAGGAAGTTTGCAATGTCTCCATCTCGGTTAGCCCGGGTACAGCATAGGGTCCCCCATCCCTGATCACTGGGAGCATAAACTTTGAAAAGGCAGTACTTAGAAAGGTGAGGTTGGAAAGCAGAAAGGAAGAGGACAGGATGTGTATCCTTGTATGTATCTGGAGGGGGCATCAGGCTGAGTCTGCATCTACAGCAGGCTTTCAGCTTTTACTTGATTGGTGTTCAAGAATGTTAGCTGGATGGCTTTGAGATCCATGGAGATTTGGGGAGGAAAAGCTGTCCTAATACACACTTAGCAGAGTCTGCCATCAGGTTTTAACAAGATGTTTGAATCCTAGAATAAAATAGTAGGCATTCTAAAGTGAAAAGAACCCTCAAACATTAGCACTGGCACCCATATTTCCCCTCCAGAAGAGGGTCTTGGTATTAGGGCTTGTTGGCCTTGCTGCCTCTGTAAGTATATCTGAATTTCAGCAGGTAGTCCAAGTTTAGTTTTCCACTGGGTGAGATCCCTCCTCACTCTGGGTCTCTGTCTGGGGATTGCTCATAGTTATCAAATAATGAGGTGTCAGGCTTAACTTTTAGCATACACTGATTAGCATGGGACCCAGGTTTTGTCATTGACACAGGGACTTCCATATTAGAAGGGGAGCCTGGCACTGAGGTGTCAAAAAGATGAAAGGGCAGAAAAGTATTATGACTGACAAAGATACCTAGAGAAATTTAAGGACCAAAAAAAAAAAAAAAAAAAAGGAAAAGCAGAGAGATGTAGATAGAGACCCATGAGAGCAAGTGCAAAGGGAGCAGGAATAGATACCAAGACAGAGATGAGAGAATACAGACAAAAATCATAGGTGGGCCAGGGCAAATTATTATAGAGAAAAAGAAGGAAGGGCAAAGAGGTGTAAGGAAAGAATGGAAGAAGAGTATAGAGGAGAAAAGCATAGAATAGGAACATGGAGAGTGGAACATCCATGTGGGCGGCCAGAGGAGACACAGAAGGTGGATGCACTTGCTCTTTGTATCTAACTTATATTAACCACACCACCATTTCGAGGAAGTTGGCATAACCTGTATCCTTTAGTGGCCAGCCCTTGGTTGTTGTGTTTCTCTGGGGGAGGTATAGATGACTCAGAAATCATACACTGTCTAGGAACACAGCCGCAGGGCAGATGGTCAGATATAGGGAAACTAGGTTCTTGGTAAATGCACAAATGTGCAAGTGCTGTTGTCCTCCTTTCCCACTCCTCCAAGAGGAAATAAAACTCACAGGACAGGAGAATGGGAACACAGGAATTGTTAACTAACCATTTCTGCCAGTGATGATCTGTCCGTTATTCAAAGAAGAGTAGAGTCTCTGGGAAGGGCAAGTGATGGGAGCCGCTCACTCCCCTGAGAGTGTGATCCACTGGAGACAGGGATGTACACATTTAATGTACTTTTTAAATGGATTTTTAAATTTTTTTCTTTGTAATAATTGCCTCAAACTGTAACAGAATACATGAGTTTATTTTAAACATCCTGGGTTTGCATTTTTAGGTGTTTTTCGTTCGAAGACATCCACTAGTAAATCTGCCTTTGGAATCTGCCGTACAATAAATGTGATTATTTAAACCCTTACATGAATAAAGAAATTTGAATACTGATTCAAATTTACTCATTACCCCTCCTCCTCCTCCTACTGGACCCTCCTCTGAAAAATACAATGTAGACCTCTAACACCCTTCTCTAATTTGTTCCTGTATTTTGTCCTGGGAGATACAATGAACACACCCTTCTTGTATCACGTCCTTCCCAGAAAAGTTCATTTCTTGTGACTATCTCTTGATAAAAGGACAAGCCCAAAGAAGCACTCAGGCAGGATTACCTTTCCATGAACCTCATTAATCACAGGAACTCCAGGGGACAGCAGACCAGCTCCTCTGGTTGACCTTGCAAGGAGTATTTGCAGCTTAGGGATACTGGACAGTCAGCAGGGCCTCATTTTGGCTATCCCCTATATACAGTTAAGTCCATTTGATGCAAAAACTAATGCCATGGACACTGTTATTATCATTTGCATTTCATGGAGGGGAAGTCTGAGACTTAGTGACATTATGTAACTTTCTCCAGAGAAACACATCTTTAGCTGTGGTTCAGCTAGAAGGCAAAAGTGCTGATGTTTTGAGCCCACGTTTTGGTTGACTTAAGCCTGAGGACCCATTACATATCAGACTAGCTCCTACCCCATTTACATGGATGGAGTCAGTGTAGAGATCTTTCCTAAGTACTCCTACACTTTACCAGTGGAGGGGTAAAAGTGGCTGAAAAAATTGGGGTATAATGTGCCAGAAATCCCATAGCCATCAAATGCCAAATTGAGACCTATACCCAAGTTTCTGGAGTTTCAGTCTCTCTCTCTAGCTTACCAGTAAATTACTCTACATAGGGATAAGCACCAAGGTCATATAAGCCTCTTAGTCAAAATGTAAGTAAGTTCCTGGACCCTCCTAGAGGCTCACTGAATTAAAACTTTAGGGCAGAGAGCCCAGAAATCTGTATTTTTAGTCCATGCCCCAAGCCTACATCTGCACAGTACCATTTGCCCCAGTTATTCACAGCTCTTGGATTCTCACATTGTGGAACCCTTCCAGACAGCTTCAGGAGAATGTCAAGTCCCCCCCCCCCCCTTCAAGAAATTTAAATACACAAAAACAGTGGACTCTATATAGCTAGTGCACCGATCAGCTACATAAGGAAACAGACCAACTCACTTAAAAATATCTGTGTCAGCACTTTAAGAAGTGCCACAAACATGTGGATCTTTGTTATATTTGTATTTTTTTTTGTTTTGTACCAGCTTGGAAAGCATGTATCATTGTTGTTATTTGTATTAATACTTGTCCCAAAAATGACATCAAGAGTCAGGCCAAGGCTGTCTCCCAGTTGTAAGACTAGTTATGCTCTGAGAAACATGCCTTCATCAACAGGATTCCTATTCCTCTGAGCAGATCACTGCTTCATTCTGCAGGTAAAAAGGAACTATCACCCATGCTCTGTCTCTTTCTGGCCCACTTACATTATTTTCTCAGTGACCTCAACATCTTTTCTGTTTCATTGAAATATGGCCAAAGGTGCCAGACGTCTTGTCCGACAAACTATTTTGTCATCTCTCCCTTTTCAGGTCCAAATTTATCTTTTGAATCTGTTGCTTTTAACCCTGACCTCTTATTCAAGGGTGGTAATTGAGCCTTGGGTAGCTTTGATAAGCAACTGTGTGGTACATGCATTTTAGATAGCCGTAGTCATTTGTGAATAGAATGCAAAGCAGAGGATCATTTATATTTACAGTGTCTGCATCCTTAATATGCCGACATTCATTTTTCTGTTTCAAAATGCTGAGAATTTCGGGAGGTGTACATAGCAGTGGAGTAATAGAAGATGGCTAAAATTTGAGCACTTGAGTAGGGACAAACTTGTGATAAAACCTACCTCCAGTTTGCTTGCTAATACTATGTTGTCTTGTTTATTTAACTTTGCCAAAACTTCATTTTTTTTTTTCTGGAAGTTGAGACAATTGTAGGCTGCCAAGCCTTACCCTCTTATGTGGCTAAGGTGCCCCAGCAAAGGTCTGGTGTTCCTCTAGCTGGTGTTGTTCAACTCCAGCTGAACATCAGTCACATGCCAAGCTCTATTTAACCCAGGGTAAGAGTGCCAACAAGGAGCTTAAGCAACTTCTC